GGGTAGGGGTGAGATTCTTGATGTGTGGGAGGAATTTGTCCAAATCGTGACTGGCAGATTTTGAAGAATAGGTGGAGATTCCTGGATGGACAGAGTTTGGCGAAACCGTGATTGGACAGATTGACATGTCTCGAAGGCAAGTTAAAAGATGACTTAATGGTAAAAGTAAAATCATTGTGAACATGTAAATATAATGTATTGACTTCAAATTTGGTGCAATTAGAACCTTCCCGCCTGGAGTTGTCGAAAAATAAATTTTATAATGAAAAATGTGGTTGGGGCTATTGTGGCTCAGACAAATTATTACACATCCCTCCTTAAGTCATTCAAATTTTGTGTGATTAGCACCTTCCTATCTTGAGTTATGACTAAAATTATTATTTATTTTTAAAAAATATAGGTGGTAAGTATATATGTGTATATATATTTGTTGTCTTTTTCTATTAAAGGGTCGCCTGTTGAGGCTGATTTTATTAAGTTCCCACCTTATCCCATATCACGCTTTATCAAAAATGTCCAATTTTCTCCACCTGAGCAAAGGCCATTTCTGGAACATTTATAGGGTATAGATCAAATTGGAAAAGGTGAAACTTCAACAACATATAAAGTATGTACTGTATCTTCAGTTTTTTTTTCTCCTAGCAATACAAAATACACACAATTGCACATATGCTAATGTCAAAGACACACTTCTGTTGTCAAATTAATTTAGTTCATTTAGTTAAATTGATATGAATATAGCTCATCCCAACTACTGTATCTCCATTCTAACACACTGTCTAAAAACAAACGTGCAAAAACTGGCTCTTCACTGGACTTGACAGAGACTGTTTCCCACATCCCCACATATACACACAAAAAACACACATACAGTTACTTCATCTCGTTCAGATTAGAATTCAGTGAAGCATAGATTTCAGAACCTCAGAATTACCATGCATACTCATTACCAGCTACCAGCAGACAGCATTCATGAGAGAAAAAGTGGGTGTGAAGAGTCATGGCAACCAGCCCAGACATTAGTCACAAAGGTATCTAAGGCAAGAAAATGACAAAGTCACAGCAAGTACAAGTATATACTACAGAAAACTTGCACTTTTACCAATAACATTAGCTGACATCTATCTAGCCCCATCACAGTCCCTCACTTATTCCTGAGCATTTGGGGTCAGAAAACAAGTCATCTGTGAAACCTTGGAACCAGGCGGCTCCACAGCAGGCCAAAATCCATGCTGTGGAAGTCACTCCATCTTCCTGCCGCTCCAAGTCACTGCTGACGCAAATTCCACTGCACACAAATAACTTTCCTGATCTAGACACAAACACGTACAGATCTAGTCTCACACGAAAACAGTAAAAGTACACAAGCACAAGTAAACGAGCAAAGTTGCAGCCTGGTGGTTAAACCACTGTGTAGTCAGACTCATGTAACTCTAACGTCATCAAGTAAACCTTTCAAGACAAAGTAAAAAGGCATCAGCTCACAAACTAAACTGTAAAAAGATCTGTAAAAGAAAAAAATATATACTGTGGCAGCTACAGTATATTTGGATGGGAGATTCAGCAGACCATCTTTAAATCACTGACATTCAGCTTGATCTCTGTTAATGTCAGAGAGACTCGAGAGAATCCAATTATTCTGAACTACTAAAGGTAAATGTCAGCACATGCTGATGAAATGATCAGAAATCTGCTTTTATTACAAGCAGACAACAAGCACTTTGTAGCCATGAACACCACAGCAGAACGTTTCCGGTTTGTAGTTCATCCTTCCTGACCTAAAGTTATTAGGATTTCTCAGTGGGAAAGAAATCAAACAAAATGCAGCACACACCAAACTTTACAGAAAACTTTATATAACAGTTCCTGCAAACAACTAAAGAAATAAGTCTGGACCATTTTATGGATAGTATTTGGCTACATACAGTATATTGTCAGTGTTTTGTGTTTAAACGGTGATGCTATTGCTCTTGAATTGGAGAACTGAGAAAATTCATAGTTTTCAGGGGAAGATAGATTCACAGTTCAGGAAAATTATGATTTATTCACTTCCTTATTGCTTGGAAAACCTTATCCCAGCATTTCCTGAAGCAGCCAGAGGCACAGGAGCTGAATTTATGCACATACGTGCTTCATGGGAACTATGTTTCTCTCACACTCTAAAAACAATCTCAGCATTTTCACATTTTTAATCAGTTACCGAAGCTTATTAGTGGTCATAAAAATACAATATAAAATCTAATTGTTGAAATGCATTACTTGCATTGCTTTACGTTTCTGTCATTTTAATGTTTTAAGCCTATTGAATGAAAGATTTTTTGCAAGGCTTGAGTCAGTGCAAGTTACATTTTGAACATTAAACAAACACATTAAAATGTACAAAATGCTGCATATGCTATATAGAGCATGACCTCTTTTGCACTGTGTAAATGGAAGTGTGTTTCAATGCACCTATTCAAATTTTAGTTTTCGGCATCACATTAAGGCACTGTGAGGGGCACATAATGAGTCATACTTGTATATTAGGAGTTAGAAAGAAAGGTTTCCAAAAAAATATAAAAACACTGCTAATTAAAAAAAGCTTTGAAACTTCAGCAGATTACAGAAAAAAATCTCTCAGCCACAGAAAATATGGTACATTTAGCTTCTCTCAATGAAAGGACAATAATTGATCTTTTGCAGCTGAAGTATTATTACCTGAACATGAACAAATATCTTCCTCTGTTCACCAAGAAAACTACCAAGATGAAAACATAGCAGCCAATATTTCACCTTTTTTTGTTTTATACAAAGTGCTTTTGCAGTAATGTTTAATCCTGTAGTCAAATTATGCTAACAAAGGTACTAAAGGCTTAGGATGTCTAAACATATAAACATATAAACGATGTTTGTTTCAACTGCATGCAGTCATGATGTCTGTTGTCTGGTTCAGATGTTATGGTGTTATATAGGATTGTGTATTGGCATAGTGAAGTGATACATATCACAACACAGGCTTCACAATATGATAAACCATATGGTAATACTGTAAGCAAGGAGATGTATTGTCCTTTAAAAGATTCATTTTTTTAAATCTCAGTTAAAGAGCACACCATGCATAGCATGCAAAGAACAATGAACAGTGACAGCTGCATTTGTATTTCACAAATCTTCTTACAACATCCATTCATTAAGCCTTAATTAAAAATCAATACAGTTCTATTAGGAATCAATACAGAATTAGGAAAAGTGTATCAATATTTTATGACACTCCAAGTGTCATTTACTAAATTCAAATCAACAAACAACAAGAAGCAGGCCCCCAAACTGTATTTTATAATAAAAAAAATCTTGGTAACTGGCGATAAAAGAAGCTAATTGAATTGTTTCAAAAGCTGATGAAATTGTTCATTTACATTACGCGAGGAAATTATGGTTTAACTAACCTGATTTATAATTTAGCACTTATTTTTGAATATAAGTTTCTTGTAAAAAAGTTTTCATTTTCATTTTAAAAAAATTCAAGTGTTTATATGGAGAAAATACTCAGAAAACAACATCAGAAATATTAACGATTGTATCTGAAGAAGATGCACCATAAACCAATCAGGTTATTTTCATGACTTGGCTAAGAACTCACAAAGTAGTTAACCTAGAGGACTGCCTCAGCTCGCATGAAGCACAATGTCGTATCAATATTTCATAATGGCTTGGTGTGTCAGCAGTTTCCATAGTTACCCCATACGTTTTTGTGTGACTCTATACTCACAGCCATCATAGATGTCAGTGGGAATGTGGACAGCCGTGTGGTTGTGATCTGTCAGGCGTTTAAATGATGGGTCCTCTTTAAAGTCTGGCCGAATCCTGTATTTTCTTCCCTCTGTCTCATTCGCATCCAGCTGAGAAAAAGAAATCAAGATGCATCCAGTAGGTTTGACTGCAGGTTCCGGATATTAAACCAAGCTCCTTGATTTTATTTGCTAAAGCATAGCCTATAATATACACTGTGATGGTTATGCTAAAAAAACACAGGACCTATTGACAAGCTGACTACTCATCCTCAACAAATCCTCTCAGACATAATTACAACGTTACAGCAATTTTCATACCCGCTTTAAAAACGAGGCGTTCTTAACTGTTCGCCAAAAGACGTCTCGGCAATTTCTTTCATATCATCAATGCTTGGGAGGAGGAGCAGCAGACATTGACACTTTTATATGGAGATTTCAAACTCGTGCTGTGCTTCTGCCAATTTACATCAATGAGCACAGCAGAGACGGGGCAAAATGAGGTGAAAAGCATGATGAGATATGAAAGAATTTTGGGTTTAGAGGTAGCAAGGTGCTGAGACGGAGAAGGAGAGAGAAGGGGGGGTTTAGTGTGAAACACTTGCTTCCTAATAAAGCAACAGCGTAGCCAGCTCATACATCTCATCTGTCAATTAGAGGAGAAGCATGGCAGAGACCTCTTCACCTGAGAGAGGGTGGGAGGAAAGATGGCAGAGAGGAAGCTAGATGGGAGGAAAAGCCCAAGGAAGAGGCAAAGGAGGGGGGTAATACAGTAAAAAAATTGCTGAGGCAATGATAGCATTAAAGGGTAAAAAAAATGTGTGAATGTGGTGAATAGTAGAAATAAGGGACATGAGGGAAGATGACACAGTGAAAAGGCATTCAAGAATAGGGGTGGGGTGTAAACCCAACATTTTATTACTCAGTTATGTTTTTAACTAATGGTGTTTAAGCAGAAACAGCGTAAATAGACTAATGATAAATGTAAAAATGAAAAAATAAAAAAGCACTTACATTATCTTTTGAATTGTAGTAGGCAATTTCATTATCCTGTAGACAAAACAACAATACAACAAATGTTATTTTTTGGTGTTGCGCAGTAATATGTTTATGTTGTCACAAATCAATTTAAGGAAATGAAAAATCTATTTTTTAATTATTTTTATTTCTGTATTAGTATTTCTTCATTTTTATTTTAACATTAGTGTGTGCTTCCAAGTAAATAAATGCTGAGCATTACTCTACTTGGACATTTTCTTGACAATAAAGTAATGACAGGCAGACATGTAAAATTAAAGACATACTCTGTAATATTTAAATGCAAATAAAAAAAATGATTTAATAAGTGTATGAAGAACTGATTTCTGATCAGACACTACATACAATAGCCATCTAAAAATAAGTTAAAACTACTAGATTAGACCCTTATTCTTTTCAAATTAATAATAATTAATAATCTGCAGTTTGACAGTTGCACTTGGTAAGACTTCTTGAAGTAAAAAAAAACAACTTCAGATTAATAAGATTAATTAATTAATTGTTTAGTATATCAGTCTAAAAACAAGATAAAAAATACTTTTTAGATGATAGAAGTCTGTAAAACTTGGTTAGAGGAACATGTTTCTGCAGTAAAACGACGTCTACTGCTCAAAAACACTATCAGATTAAATAAGATTCACTTTAAACCTGGTTGGGACCAGGTTAGTTTCTGAGCGCTTGTTACCACAGAAACACAAGTGCGTCGTTGTTAATGCAACCAATTCAAGGCTTAATTAATTCAGGTTTACACCAAAATTCCAGGTTAATCCCTTATCCTAGTTTTGTGCAACAGGCCTCTGGCATTATTTGAATGACTATTACCAAACACCACGTTTCATGCCAGAGTCTTAAGATGAGATCATCTCTCTCTAAAGCCTGAATTTTGCCTGAAACTCTCAGACTGAAGAAGTCTCTTGGAGGAGAGACGAAATGTTCCATCAGAGAAGAACCCGTCCAGAAGACCTATTCAATTTTTTTTCTTTTTGATTTTTTACCTGGATTACTGAGATGCATCAGGACATCATCTCTAGTATTATAGTTGCGTTAGACCGGTGGTTCGCAATTCTGGTCTTTATGACCTACTAACCTGCATGTTTTAGTTATTTCCCTGCTTTAGCACACTGGATTTAAATTAATGAGTGATTGACAAGCTTCTGCAGAACTTATTGGCCTGCAAAAGAGATGGAAAACAACAAAAACATGCAGGATAGTGGACCATGAGGACCAGAATCAAGAACCACTGTGTGTTAAGACAAATCACATAACATTATGTGTAATCTGATCATGCAAGATTAAACAAATGTGTCAGTGCTCACATTATGTGTTGAAAATGACTCTCAGATAAACAAAGGTTTAGTTTAATATATCTAAAACTGTCATTTTTTTCTATTGACTAATGCTTGTTAGCTGTGGCAGTCGTCTTGAATAGAGTTAAACCTAAAAGATAATCATTTGTAGAAGTGCTGATATTGACTTTGCAAGAGTTTCAATAAAACACATCCAAGATTGCTACAGAAATGAGCAAAAACATTATCACCTCTATATGCCCTTGGCGGCAGATGATAACTGTGCATCTTTCCTGGCCATGATTCACTCTTTAATAAAACAAAAGTTTGCACTATTGTAGCTCTTGAATTTGGAGACTTAATGAGTCATAACATGGTGCGTGATGGGCAATGAAGCATAATTAGGCAATAAAGATGTGATTACAGCTTCATTTAGCAATGGAGCTGTAAACCTTGTTTATGACAGGTATCTGCAAAGCAATTGCATCTATTCAAACAATAGGAGTAAAAGTAAATCTAGAGAAAATGGTGTTTTTGAGTGATTTTTTTTTTTCTTACCTCAAACTCATCTTTCCATGCATGCTCCATCTGGAATACTTCAGCAGCTGTGGCCAGTTTCTGGGGAGACAAATGTGACAGGAGTTTAGATTAGAAACTGCCTTGAGTGCAGTTTTCTTTCATTCCATCACTCATTTTAGAAAACGTGTATTAAAGAGTTGAAAACAGCGAAGAAGATACGCTTAGAAACAGAGAAAAGAAAATAATCTCAGTTGCACAACTCAAACCACATGACTTTTACTGTCCAAGCATTTTCTCTCCACTAAAGGCCACAACACTGAGTATCAGAATGTCAGACTGAAAAGGTTGAAACATAGGCAAATGTGCATATGTGTGTGGGTGTTTTTGCAAGTGTGACTAAGACAGCTTGTGAAACAAAGACGCAAAAGGGCCAGATCGCTGGATAAGGTCAAAAGCAAATGGGCTGCCAGGTGAGATGGTGTCGCTCAAATTAGATGTTTTTGAATAACCAAGTGTAAAAATTATGTGATTAACTCTGTTTTCCATGCAGACACGGTCAAATGAAAGAGAGGCTGCAATAAAAATCCAAAAGTAAACTACAAACAATGCAAACTTATACCAACTTCATGCATAATTTAGCTTCTTAAAATAACTTCAGATTTGAAGCAGAAAAGTATATAGTCCTTATTAAAACATCAGACAGTTTGAAGCTTAAATTTTAACATTTATACATAAAGTATTTGTCTCCATCTGCAAAAGCCTTGATAGAGCTTCAGCAGGTTTTTGTAATGAGCTTTCAATTTTTTTTGAAGAAGGATGAAGAAAATCAAACGGAGAAAAAAAGAAATTAAAATTACAGCAAGTCACAGTGAAAAAAGGAGTTCAGCAATCTGCATCATAATATTTATATGTGAAGTCATTTCACCATAATTGCCTCCAATTATACAAGATTTTGGTTTAATAATAAAACCGTGCACACCGAGATGGAAATGTAATATGAGATCAGTGATATCCCCGAGGCAGACAGCAGAGAAAGCAACAAATAGAAAGGAAACAGTGGATGTGTTCACCTCGGCAAATCTGCAGCATAACAGCTTTACTTGGCCCTGGCTTACTGTTTGGTAATAACAACAATGTGAAGGAAAGGTATGCTCTTGAATCAAACAGATACAAATCATAGCAGCAAACAGCAAATGAAAAAAATGAATTTGAAAATACCCATAAATATTGCTCCTCATAATCTGCATTTGGCACGTGCAAGTAAGTTTAAGTGGCATATCAACTCTAGATTAGATGATTAAAGTACGTGTCACTCTGTGTTTTATTCTGGGTGTGGGTATGTGAATGTATCTGTGTGTCTCTGACCATGAGTCTGCTGTCGGCAACGGTTCCATTCTTGATCAACAGTGCCATCTCTTTGGCCTCTGGTTCTGGGCTCTGTTCCAGACTTGTCACTGGCTAAATTTACAGCCCACTCCAGCCATAAACAAACACACACACTACCTGGATGACACCAAGTAGTGATTGGGAAATTAGTATGCCTGATGTACACCGTGCAGAAAATAGTTTGATTTCTGAATTAAGTTCCATATATTGTTTTGTGGCAATAAATTTTGTCATTCAAATTCTCAACAACTCTATAATTTCAACCTATACTTCAGAACTTTAAACAAGGAGTTTTGCAGAAAAAAAATATAAAGAATTACTATCTTAAAGGGGCAATATCATGTAAAATCAACTTTTTTTGAGTTTTATATCATTTTATGATGTTCTACTCTCATTAAAAAAAATATGCCCAAAGCCTTGCTCTGACTCAATCATGCATGTTTGAGAAATCCTGCAGCATTTTTAGGCAGCCATGCTGAGGAGCAAAACGACAGGTGGGGACCAGAAACGCCTTTGGGCGTCTGTCGGCTGTGGACATGAAAGTGCCCGCTGCGAAGCAGGAGGAGAGGAGAGCGGAAAAAGTTCAAAACTTATTTTTAGCGGCAGAACAGGTTGGGAGATGGTTGTTTGATGTTATTGATTGTTTGTTTTAAATCATCCTACAGGTTCTGACATGTTAGATAAATTTGAAGATGAGGTTTTGAAATAATCTGTGAGATTGCTCTATACGTCCGTACACCTGCAAAATGACGTTAAATCCTTTTAACTTATGGACAATCCGTACAAGTTGACATGTGTGAACTGTTCGGCTTCAGATGGATTATAATGAGCTTTTTAACTGTTGGAAATACCTCCTTGAACAGTCTCAGAATGGAGAAATATAATTTAAACCTGATTGGAGTGACAAGCTAATGGCAAGTCTGAATGTGACCTAGAACAACTAAGATTTATTTTTCTCTTCAAACAACCCCTGTCTACAAAATCCATTTGGCAGAAAGTTACTTTGGAAATGCTACATCTTGAACTGATGAGCTAATACCATCTAGTGCAAGCAGAGCTCTTTCAAACTGCATTTCTGACATTTTAAAACAAATCTAATCTCATGTATTTATTAGATATGCTTTTGATGGACAAATACTGTACTATACAGTGAAGCCCAGCAAGTTGCATTTCATGGTTTGCGGTCTCAGTCTTTCACAGTTTTTTCATGGAACCTAACTACTACTAGCTGCTTTAATCCCATAATATCACTGAAACAGAAATACAGTACAATAAGGAACATCAAATTTTCCCTCTCTTTCTTGTGCTTTTTCATGATCTTTCAAGTTAAGTTTTAAGGACAATATAATTTACTAATTTCGTAACAAATATTAACGTAATTAAGTTCCGTAAAAAAATACATGATGCATGCCCTGTGCTCATGCTCCACCCAGAGCACAGCATTTCTGCCTTCTATTCACCGTGTGGAGTGTAGCTGCTAACGGTTTAGCTCTTGTGATTTTCTTTGCTTTTTACTGCATCAAATATTTGTTTTTTTTTTCTTTTTTTCCATAATTTGCTGGTACTGTAAGAATGTAGTCCCTGTGAAAACCAGAGCTTCACTACAGTATATTCTAAATATTGCACTCCCAATTAGATTTTACATGGCTATTTGACTGAAACATTATGATACTCCTGCCAGAGGTACTACAGCTACTACTTGACCCTGCTCAGACTACTCATTAAACCAGTCACACTTAAATTTCCTTTTTCCAAATTCAGTTTATTTAAAAAGCTATCTACAACAGGCAGGATATTGTTCATGACCAAAACCCCACTTCAAAATAAAATTTGAACTATTACTTTTTTTTAAATAAAATGTTTAACAATGCAAGTGATAATAGATTATATAAATGCTGAAAAAGTTATGTAGATTTCACTGAATGGAGTGCATAAAAAAGTAGCATAGCATCATATAGCCTAAGCATGCCCACTTGATCCTAAACTTAATCACCCATAAGCAGCTCTCTCTCCTGGCTCAGTATTGACTTCAGTGATGAGAAAGAAGGTGAATTGAATACAAGCAACAGTTGTTTAGTGTCTGACATGTCATTTTTTACACAATTTGTGAGACTAATGGATAGTATAAATAGATAATGTTGATGTAAAAAAAAGTACATCCTTACATTGACAATATATAAATAAGCATGCAAATCTGTACACACACTTCTCAAGAGAGTATACCAAGAGGCTTGTTAAAAATTCATGACAGAGCTTTGACAAGGCTGCTCTCCCCTGTGGGAAATGTGGGGGAGGGTGAGAATGAGAGTGTGAGCAAGATACCTAACTACCCTCCCATTTTCCTGTACAGCTGAGCATACTCAAACACATTATCAAGTAACTCCATAGTCAGATACACTCTAAATTACAGAGTCCAGATGATGACTGCACAAGAGTGACAGTTTCTCTGAGCTAGACTATATAGTTCATTAGTGGGCTCCTGTTTCTGCCTGTTGGTTACAAGTCCGTTTTGACAAATCTGGAAGTCCAGTGTTTTACTTAACATTAGAGCATTACAGTCTCTGTTGCATGTTCCAGCTCATTAGTCTTATTTTTATTTTGTAAAAGGTTCTATGCAATAACGAGTCTACTCTTTCATTTTATGACCCCAGAGATTTGAGAAGAGCCATCACTCCTCTTCACTGTAAAACTGCATGTACTGTATACAGTGGGTATTGGGTTACTGCCATTAACCCATGCCCACAGGAAGTAGACCGGTACAAGGAATTAGTTGGAAACTGGTTGCAAATAGATGAAAAGAGCTTGATTTAATGATGGGATCTAAAGTGAAAATGTTCTGTAATATCCACAAGGCACTATTAAAACCTTTTTACTTCAAGCTAAACATAAAAAAAAAGCTTAGAAAGACTAAAATAGTATATGAACTTTAAAACATTCACTGTTATGTACGATGATACGATGACACGACTATGAATGTTAAACCCGTAGTTGGCCTGAGTTTAGTATTAGAGACCTGAAAGCCCCCCACACAGAGGGATATTTCTGCCTGACTCTCACCAGTCTTATTGTCATGCTGCCAGGGCAGTCCAGCAGCCCACCATGCATTTAGTGAGAAAGAGGAGCACAGCTTAAAGGATAGACAGGGAAGATGAGACAAGCTCTGCTAAAGCTCAAAGAGCGTCTCACACTCCCAAAGTGTGTGTATGTGTGTGCATCTCAAGGCTCCACACGCCTAAAATCAATGGCCAATTTGGAGTACACATCACCACTCCCACAGACAACAAAGCAATACTCAGAAAGGTCTAAAGATCATTAACACCCACACTCAGTGGTATCCTTCTCTTCCTTGTTTCCGTGTAGCAAGTGCATGTTCCAGAATACTGTTTTTTTTATTTGCCATGAGTCCTGTTCCAAAGGGATGACAAGAAAGCATAAATGGTGGAGAAATTGTCAGTATTACAAAAAAAAAGAGGCATCAGTGAAGATAAAACAGAACTGACTAAATCTGATCACAGTATTAGGAGTAAGCTCATTAAACCCCAGCTTATGAAAACAAATATTGGAATAATAAAAAGAGGTATGACAGGGTGTGTAAGCTTTTTCAGTCGCTGAGTATGTGCCACAAAAAAAGGACAAAGAAAATTTGTTAATTTATATCTAATAAGCAAATGTATCATATGTAAGAGGAAATAAGAGGAATTAGGAAATAGTAG